GCTCTTTCCTGCGTAAAATATTGTGCCACCTCTTGATTGCTCTTTGTTTGTTCAGAGTACAGATCAATAGATGAATAATATATATGGCTAATTGCTCATTGTTTAGATAATAGATTAGTTAACTGAATAGAATATTGCTAATTTTCTATGCCTAGTTTGTTTATTGCTATGTTATCTGCCTTTGTAGTCTTTGTTTTTGTTAATATGTCTTTGTCTTCTTTTGTGTAGGGTCTGGTTGTTTTTTGCTTCTGAGTAAGGGAGTTATGGGGTACTTTCCCTGGTCGTTAGTGTTTTTTGTACATGGACTTTGTATATCCTTTGTGTTATTTTGTAGTTGTCGTTTTTTTTTAAAAAAAAAAGCAAGTGGAAAGAGTTGTTTTCTATTGTTTAATTTTTTATTTTATTTTATTTTATTTTTAGTTTATCTTTTTGGAGCCTTTTTCATTGTTGGAGAATAACTGAAGAGTTGATTGGTGTTTTTGTTTGCTTCAGTGTTTTTGTGGTTTTTACTTTTAAAGTAAAGGGCTATTGGTTAGGACTTAGGATACTGTGTGTGCAGACTATGTTGTTTGATTATGAGATTACTGCAGGATACTGTGTGTTTTTGTGGTTTTTTTCCCCTTGCATGTAAATTAATCTTTGTTGATTGGTTGCATGCTTGGCTGCTTGCTTTGCACTTGTAGGATGGAACCACCTAGTTCTGGACAACCAGCAGCAGTGGAGAAAGAAAATGTTTTGAAGAGGAAGTCAGATGATGTTGGATGGGATTATGGGTTTCTGGTTGATCCTACCAACATGAACAAGGTGAAATGCAAACTTTGTGGCCATGAGAGCTCGGGAGGGATTTATCGTCTCAAGCAACATATAGCTCATGTTGGGACTACTGTGGCCAAGCAAGGACAGCAAACCGGAAGATAAAGAGAAGTGCAAGAAATCACTTGATGGGGCAGCAAGGAAGAAGAGGGAAAAGATTGTCCGTGAGCTAAGTCTCAGAGAAGATGTGAATGTTTCTCGTGTTGAAGGAGGTACAGAGGAAGAAGTTACTTGTATGGAAGCTCAGAGCCCCACAAGCTAGGGCCTATTGATAAGTGGACAAGGCCAATTGATCCTAAATCAACACAAGCTGAAGCCTTGAAGCAACAAAAGTTAAACAAGGAACTTTGGAAGCAGAGAACACATGAGGTGCAGCGGTATGTTGCAAGATGGATGTATGCACATGGCAATTAATTAATAACAGCTACTGTTATTTACTTTTCTATATCTATGTAATCATCACTATTGCCATTTTTATATGCATTGACATGGTAACCAACATTGATTTGCATTATTTTTCTTTGTTTTACAGGCATACCATTTAATTCTATTGACAATGATGAGTTTTTACAAATGTG